TTGAGTTTACGATTTTGAATTATTATATGCTTTATAAGGACTTTTTCATACTCTTGCTCAACTATTTGATTGAAAAGAGAGAATGTTGATTTATCTGTTCATACTACTTATTTTTATTCCTCTGCTCAATTTTTCTTTATACTATTTTAAGCAGTTTAGTTTGATAATTTTCAGTTACGATTTTTGAGTTTTATATGATTTTTATTGATAACGATATTACGATAAGCAATACTAAGCAATTATTGGCAACTGTATTAATAAGCAAAAATTTGCAACGGTATCGTTATTTATCAAATTAATTCTCCCGGGGTACATTTTAAGGACGCCCCAAAAAGTAATAATCACGTGATATAGAAATTTTCTCGATTAATAATGCATATTAATTTTCTAGTAATTCTTTTTTATTAATCAACAATTATGCTAATAATTAATAATAATACGTTAAACAGAATTGAGTTACTTATTCCAACGTGGCTGACTTTGAATGAATTGAATTATCAAATTGTCAATTCCAACTTTCCATGGATTTTCCGCAATAATTTCGAAATATCTGTACGCTTTGACCGGTCCAATCGCTAGCAATTAATATGCATGTTATGTTACACAAATCAGATGGAGAACTATTTAAAGTCGTATTAAAATTAAATTATTTCCTGTTTGACAAATTTCTTTCTAAATAAACATGTCAACAACCGAAATAAATAATTCCAACGCAGATTATTATTGGTTAGAAAGAGCTATATCGGAAAATTATATCAAATATTATGATTTTGCAGAGTTCATTAATTGGGAAGAAATCAGCTGCGGTTCTTATGGTAATGTTTCCTGCGCTAACTGGAAAGGTACGGAAACTATCATGGCTCTAAAACATTCACATAAGTTGACCGTTAAAGAAATCGTTAATGAGGTAAATTATTACAAATAATAAATTCATTATATAATTAATAAATAAAGCATTCATTTTAACTTATTGAGGGTATAATAGATAAAAATGCAACGAGAAGTTGATTATCATGCAAATATTATAAAATTTTTTGGGATATCGAAATCGAGTTTAACGAATAAGTATATGTTGGTTATGGAATACGCTGATGGTGGGTCATTGCAATCTTATCTAAAGGAAACCTTTAATAAACTTGAATGGAGTAGTAAATATCGGCTAGCTTTGCAACTGGCAAATGCTGTAGCTTGTATGCATAACGAAGGAATCATTCACTGCGATTTGGTAAGGAAACAATTATTTTGTTTAAATATGTTTACATCAATCAAGGTAATAAAAATATTATTATTGTTATGTAGCATGCACAAAATGTACTTGTACATCAAAATAATATCAAGTTGGCGGATTTTGGTTTATCAAGAAAAATA